AATTAAAAGCGTTTCTGCTGTAACTCTGAGTTACACGGTTTTAGCCGATCATCAGACAGCAACAGGAGTTCCAGTTTTTTTGAGCTTTTGAAGTCGGTTTGGAATTTTGGTGCTCTGATCCATCCTTGGTCAGATCGAGCAGTGCTGCTGACATGTACCATTACTGTTCCTTTCCGGTAGATGGCTACGGCCGAGAGTCTTTTCGGCCCTACCTTGATGCTTTGGCTAAATCCCCTAGCATCATCTTTCATACCAATGAGCAACCGAAATCTGCGATCATGTACCAACCACGACACATCCCACTTGTCCTTAGGGTTCATGAACGTATGCAGTCTCCGCTTCAAGGTCCATGCTTTAACCGCACTGATCCCCAGGTACGACATCCTGTGTATAGCCGAAACATGGCTAAACAGCGCGATCTCTGACGGAGAAGTACAAATCCCAGGTTATAACCTTACCAGATGTGACCGCGAAAACAAGACTGGAGGCGGTGTATGTATCTACTACAAATCATCACTTCCCATCACGCCACAGCCAAATCTCCGCCTAGACGGCGTGGAAGCCGTCTGGATACTGCTGCGATCGAAGTCCCAGAAGCACCTGGTCGGATGTGTATATCGTCCCCCGCAGGAGCCTGTCGCGTACTGGACTCTCCTGGACTCTGCCTTCCATAGAGCGTCTCTGGTGACAACATCAATGACCGTTGTAGGAGACTTCAATGTGGACATGTTCCGAGGCCAGAGAATGGCGCAACGTCATCACCTTGAAGATGTCGCATCTGCTTACAGCCTCACAAACCACGTGCTGTCCCCGACAAGGATTACATCTCTCTGTCCCCAAGGTAGCACCATAGATTTAGTCCTTTCTACAGAGAACTCAGTGTCAACGTGCACGGTTGTTCCGTCCACCATAAGTGACCACTTTACCTTCCGTGCTACTATGACCTTTACTGTACAGACGAAGAAGTGCGTGCGTGCTCCACCAACACGTAAGCTGCACAAAATCGATATTCCGCTATTTCGCGAGGACCTTAAATATTGCTTTGCGCAAGACTTCCCCTCTGATGCCGATGTCGACACTTACTGGGAGCTCTGGCACGATCGGTTTATGACTGTGTTGGACACACATGCCCCGCTTGTACAAGGGGCAATGAAATCTGCAGAACCTGTGCCTTGGTCAAACCGCGACATTTATCAGCTGGACAAGAAGAAGAAAAGGTATCATCGCCTTTGGCTGGCCGACAAAGGAAATGTTCAAGTCCACCAGCAGTACCGGAAGGTTCGAACTCAGGCAACGAACATGTATCGCCGTTGTAGGAATGTGTACTTCGCACGTCAATGCCAAGAACATTCCAGAAACCCCCGCCAGATTTGGAAAGTCATCAATACCGTCACCGGACGCGGGAAGCAGAAAACCGAACCAACCTGCAACATCGAAGAGGTAGCCAACGTGTTTCATGACATTGTGACGGATCCAAAGCGCCCATCATGCCTAGCCTCTCCCGTCGGCCCACTTCCATCGGATAGCCTGCACACGTTCCAGCCAGCCTCTTGTTCCGTAATCTACCGTCTACTAAGTCAAGTCAACCCTGCGAAAGCAACGGGCAGCGACGGTGTCCCAGGATTCCTCCTGAAGTCCTGTGCCGAGGTCCTCACACCATCTGTCACCACACTCTTCAACCTGTCACTGAAATCTGGTGCAGTGCCTGCCGGTTTCAAGTTGGCGGCTGTAGGCCCGCTGTTCAAGTCTGGGGATCCGTCTCAGCCGACAAACTATAGGCCAGTGTCGCTACTTCCGATTTTGTCAAAGTTGCTGGAAAAGCTGGTCCAGCGGCAGCTTGTACGGCACCTCGACCACACCGACGCTATCCCGGAAACTCAGTTTGCATTTCGCCGGCAGCACTCGACGGGTGATGCACTAGCCTTACTGGTTGATCAGCTGCAAATGGCTCGCGACAAGAAGGACTCCTCTGGAGTGTGCTTCCTTGACATGTCGAAGGCCTTCGACAAAGTGCGGCATGCAATTATGATCCAGGACTGCTTTGAAATTGGAGTTGGCGGTACGGTGATGAAATGGCTCGTTAGCTACCTTACAAACCGGACACAGCAAGTCCGCATCGGTAGCGAACTGAGCAACATCACAGTATGCACAAGTGGAGTACCCCAGGGATCTGTATTGGGGCCCATCTTGTTCAATATATACACCCGAGCGGTAGCTGCAGTAGCTCACCCGACCCCTAGCATACAATTTGCTGACGATATTGCACTGTACCAAAGTGGTTCCAACACGGCAACTATTTCACTGGGACTCTCGTCATCCGTCACTGCGCTGGCCGACTGGCTCGAAAACCGCGGCCTGATATTGAATGAACGCAAAAGTCAAGTTCTGTCCATCTGTGGGAGGGATGCGCAAACCAGTATCGCTGTAAATTGCCATCAGACCCGCTTACCTGCTTGTACTGCGGCCAAGTATTTGGGTTTAACCATCACAGAGCAACTGACCTGGGACCCTCATATCCACGATGTTACAGCGAAGGTGAACAGGAAAGTCGGAGCATTGTGGCGAGCCCGGCGATCCCTTTCCCAGACGGCCAGGGTCCAATACCTAAAATCCGTTGTGATGCCCGACCTATTATATGGAAGTGTGGCCTATAGCACGTCCCTCTCAGCTTTCGCTCTAGGGAAACTCCAACGTCTTCAGAACCGTGCCATCCGCGCTGTGTTCAGCCTACCACCCACATCTTCGGTAAGCCACCAAAGGGAGATCATATCCCTCCGGAAAATCGAGGAGACACAACACCACCGACTCCTCGATCTCATCTGGCGCGGCCTGAACGGCCAATGTAGTACAGCGCTTTCCAAGCAGCTGAAGCCCGCAACCACGGCCCCAACTCGACATCAAGCCAACGCCGGGCTCATTCTCCCGCTGGCCAGGACGAATACAGACACTCGCCGACCGTTCTTCCGTGGACCTGCGCTGTGGAACACTCTGCCAGCCAGTGTACGTTCCTGCAAAGCCGTGGCCGATTTCGCAGCAGCCGTGTACCCGTACACTCTCAGGCCATAAACGTTTTTAAAAGAAGAGAAACAGTGACATGCCCCCCCCCCCACACACACGGACAGTATGTATAGGCATATAACGAACGGTCTTTTCCTGTTAGCTCTGTTTGTCCAATACATGAGATATAACGTCTTTCTTGTTGTTTTTCCTTCTCCATGTAGCTGCTTCCAGCATGGTAAACGACAGTACCATGGCCTTTTCAGATTTTCATTGTACCTATTTGTAGTACCTCCCGGGATCAGTATTTTCCACTTGAAATAACATCCACCCCAATGCCTCATTCTTAGCATTCTTTTATTCGCTTCCATGTAATTGGGCTTATTGCCCGTTTGGTATTGCGAATTCAAATAAAAAACAACAACAACAACAACATTTCAAGTGGTGTGTTTACTGCTTACTCGGCTGTGCACATTGGTGTATTGAGCACTGTCATGAGCAACGGCAACTCTCTCCGAGTGTCAACTTACAGGTATTATGCTTTGTTATTGGTGAAAGGAATTCAGGTGGAAACACCCATTCCAATAGGGCTGCACATTCGAGCCAGTTCCGTTATTGGTGTTCTCCTTACCTCTCCGCTCCTAGTACATGTACAGGTATGTTAAGACTACACTGTACGTACTTCAAATACTTTGGACCACCAGGAGCTTGATATTCGTGGATCCACTGTAACGTGGAGAGCTGCTAATAGCTTCGCCTCTACTCACTGTATACATAGTTAACAACTGGACAGGGTGCTAATGCTACATTGAGCGCTTTCGATTACACGCATTTCGGTCAATTCTAGAATTAGTTATTGTTGATGCGCAGTTCGATTACACAAAAAGTGACAAATTCCGTCGTTAGAATTGATTTTATCCAATTCCGTCAAATCCGTCAATTCTGAAGAGATGGCGGAATTTCTTTAAGTCTGGCGCCAGAATTGCACAGTCGGTGTGTTACTGGTCTGGTCATGACTCAAGCGCGCGAAGAGCCTCCCTGGCCGGCGTGTGCGCGATGCTGGGTCCACGTGCGCGCGAGGGTGTACGTGATCTCTTTTTACGATTCATCAATTTTGTTTGTGACATGACATGAATAAAATGCGTTGTGAATTCCAGTCGTTCGTTTACAAGGCCGGAATACGCTCATTCTGGTCATTCCAGAATTAAAAAACCAGTTCCAAAATTGTGTAAACGTGTAATCGAAAGCACCCATTATATTAATTATTATGTCTTGTATGGAGTGGCGAATATGTGCACGTGATCCCACTCCACAACAATCATCTTGGTTGATGCCGTGCACGTTGTCGCACAAACTCCATTGCAAAATCTGCATGTGCGTGCATGAAGGCAAATGTTTCGTCAAACACTATGGAATATTCTCACTGGCTGGAGAGCCAAGGATGAGTTTTAATACAGAAAATAAAAAGGACCAAGTGCTAGAGCTGTTAGCCACTTACATGTAGTTGTGGAACGTCAATACCGTCGGTCCGTGTAGTGCAATGTTATCGCATGAGCTGATTGTTGAGTAACTGGTGGTGTTAGTGGATAGTATAGCGTAATTTGTAGCTCATTGGTCCCTTTTTCTTTTCTATAAATATTCTCCTTCGTATTAAACATTAAATTACGTAAAGCCAATGAAGACTTTGACAGGCTTAGAGCAACAGTGACACCGCCAGTCATCTGGAATGTAATGCAGCAATATTACGATGCAGGTGTGTTCAACCAATACCATAATTGAGAATTTTGCCAAAGGGATGCAAAGAGCAATGCACTACATAACTCAATGAATAAAACTACTTGTAGAGGCGCACCCATATCACAATCATAGCAACAAATAAATTGTTCCAGTTTTCTCGTCACAAAAATATCAATGGAAACTCGTGACTGAAGATATTATCAAAAAAAGCAATAGGATGTATAAGCTTGGAGTGACAAAACAAGGATAAAAGTAAGAAAGAAGAGCGTAATTGATAAGAGATTAACATACAGGTGAGAATATGATGGGACATTCAGAAACGATAGCACTGTAAAATGTGGCGATGTATGGGCAACTATGCTACATAACGCTTGCCACTTATTGCGATAATACCAAGCCTGAGATACAACTTCACTGGCGAAGTGATGCACGTTTTATCGACTGTGGTAAGGAGAAGCAAAAAACAATTTGAACTGGGATGTTGAGCCAATTTAATCATGGATAAATAAAGAAAGGACAACATGTGTCGAGTTATGACCAACTGTCCATCAATGTGACGAGATGATAGTTATACAGTCGGCAGGTGCGGCAAAGGGGCACAAAACTGACTCCTTGTCAAAAAAGAATTATACGCACGGCTGCGATAACCTAACAGTTGGAATCTGTTGTACGACTTTCGGATGTTTTAGAGCATTGGCGCTACTCATAAAGACTACAGTCACGACACGTGACATCAGAATGGATGAAAATGTGATTAGTAAGTTTGTGCGCTGGTTGCGATGATGGGCTTACATGTATACGCCGAGATCTCCTGCTTAGGTATTGTTGTATTTCTGAAGAGAGCCGTGAAGTGCTACTGTTAGTCTCTAAAGGGAATGCATGCTATCTACAATAGAATTGAACGAGTGAGGTTTGTAATTCATGATAGAGAGAAGATAAAATTGAGCAAACAGTGCTCTATTAACCAGGGCCCAACACACAGCTGAAAGGTGACAGCTGACCATGGGAACTGTCAGAAAATGGCTGTGTTCGTGTTTTGTGTGTTGTGTGCGTTTGTACGTTTGTGTGCGTGTGTGTGTGTGCGTGTATGTGTGAGTGTGTGCGTGTGCACGTTTTGTGTTTTGTGTGTGTGTATGTGTGATTGTGTGTTTGTGTGTGCTGGTCGCGCGCGCGCGTGTGTGTGTTCACGGGAATTCGATTTACACAAAAAATGGAGGATGGGAATGATAGCATTGAGAAGAACTTGAGAAGTCTTTCATATCACTTTTGTGCTATCATACGTACATTCACCTGGATGACCACTGGCCTCTACTTGCTCCTTTGGATTGGTTGTCTGCGAAATGCCATCATTTGCACGAAACTGAGATCGATCCAATACGTCATATAGGGACGTCGGCTCGGCTGGAACCTGTTCGGTTATCTCCCGCAGGGTGTTGTATGTGTGTTCATCTGCGGTAGTTGGCTGAACAATGCAAGGAAAATGGAACAACAATGAGCAAATGATATAATAATAATCTTTACTAATTTTCAGCATTACCCAAAGGCTAACGCCGATCTGGGAGATTTCCTATTCATGTATGTTGATTGTGTGTTCAGCAAGTGATCAGTCCAGTAGCTTCTCTTAATTGTCTACTTCCACACGAGATCTAGATTTGGCGTTCTATTGGAAGTATTCTATACCTGTGTGCTTTGTCCCTGGTCTTGAGTACAAGTGTACCCTCATAACGTCACAAGCGATAGAGTACCAGAAGCTGCTAGTGAAATTGCAAACATTTTAGTCATATTCAACGAACTCCGAAACAGTCCTCGTATCCAATCCCATTCAAAAAGGAATAGAAGGTCGAGGAAAGAGCCAAGACAGGTAATGTATATGGAACATACAAGGAGCCTGTACCGTTGGAGGAGACTAGACTGAAACAGAGCGAGTAGACACGAATAGTATCATAAACTATCAGCGATATTGTAAGGAAATTATACAATTGCATGATACGTTGATAAGGATCATGTAATCTTAACCGCCCACCTCTCCACACTGCGCTCTTGACCCACATTCCCAACACCACTCCATAGCGAGGAAGATCGTCGAAGAGCGCAGTGTGGAGAGGTGGACGGTTAAGATTATTTTCAAATGGCCGAGTTTGTCGCTACTTCTGAGTTTTAAAAGATCATGTAAGTTAACCTTAATCTGGCCGTCACAAGAATTCAGCGTATTCTTGCAGTTTTTTTCTTTTGTTTCGGCTCGTATTGACTATTGGACCACTTAAGCATGTTTATAAGTTTGAACTGAATATGTCCATGCGTTATGGAAATATTTATAAATAAGGTGGCTGGGGCGGTACAACTTTTTAGGGTTCATTTTGATCACATTTTGACTGCATTTTTGAGTTTATCGGCAAGGTGGAGATGAAATTTGAAAATGTTTTCTGGTGAATCTCTGGAGAATAGCCTTCTCTAGCCTCCTATAGTTTTATTTTACTTTTGGACAAAATTTGAAAAAGGTTTATGAAAGGTCCGTGAAAAAATAACACGAACCTTTCATAAAACGTTTTCAAATTTTGTCCAAAAGTAAAAATAAAACTATAGGAAACTAGAGAAGGCTATTCTCCAGAGATTCACCAGAAAACATTTTCAAATTTCATCTCTGCTTTTCCCAAAAAAGTTGTACCGCCCCAGCCACCTTAATGATATCAACTAGACAAATCGATGATAATTCTTTACCTTCGACAGTTTCACTTCGTTGTCGTAAACAGATTCCACTGGGTTTGCTGAGGTGGTCCCCTGCTTGCCAGCTCCGGACACAAACGTGAAGTTGTCGTACTGATCCGCATTGAGATCTTGGTCGGCTGTAGTCTTCGTAGCAGGCTGGAGTGGCGAAAGAGCGTTTGCGTATGCCCCATCACCAACACTTTGCATAGCGTTCTGGGCCAGGGAATATAATCCTGTGGTGTTCATTAACTGGAGAGGCATTTGGTTGTCATACGCGCTCTCATCTGGTTTTGGAAAGATTCCTTCGTCCATCGTATCAGCTGCAGTCTCAGTTGTCTTTGCATTCACAATCTGCTGTCCCTGAAAGTGAGATACGACTCCATATGTAAAGGCAATGCCTTCAGATTTCAGGCTGCTGCTTTCCCTAGCGACTTTGAAGTCCGTTGGCTAAACACAGTACACACATGAAGGATATTATATGCTTATAGAACAGAAGAAAGGACCAAGGAACTACAGGTTACCCTATAATGTCCACTAACACCAACAGTTACTAAACAATCAGCTCATGCGATAACATTGCAGGAAACTGACCGACGGTATTAACGTTCTACAACTAACTGGCTGATTGGCGAGAAGCCTTTGGAGAATCATTCAGCAATATAAATTGACAAAATTAGAAACTAATGAATAATAAACAGCGTGATATCTCGGTATTCAGTCGTTCTCCGCAGTCCTGTCACTAATGATGATCAAAGATGAAGAGAGCAGCTTGAACAAAAATAGTTGTATAGTCCATTGGCGTTAGGCTTCATGCCTGTTTGGGTACACCAACTACATAACAACAGCTGGAATCACATTTACATGACGAGAAGGCATTTGATCATTCTTCTGCCAAAACAGGCCGCCAAGAATAATATCCTCCATAGTGGGTCCATCGCTGGTTACGATATGTGCATGCATCCTTTCCAATATTTACTCTTTTTGTCTTTCTACAAGGAAATGCAGCATCTGCAAAGAACACTGAATACATGATTGCCTTTCAGCACAGCACAAGCAGCTATCAACTACAAGAAAGATGGTGGCAATATCCTCTTCACAACATACAATGACAAGAAAGGAGAGATTCATGAAGCTGTTGCGGGACTTACCCTATCTGATTGGTTCGAGGAGACTTTACCAACATCAGAACTGCGAATCTCACCCTTCAATGGTCCTTCAGATGCAAGTTTGCTGCTGTCTCTGACACTTTCTGCACCAATCACTGCATAGGAGCTCTCCAATATAGCTCCACGAGTAAAGACGGAACAGTTCTGCAGCGAAAACAACACCGAACAGTTACGAAGGAGATGCGGTCTGTGGAAGTGAACACTCGGAGTTGTGACGCTCCATATTGGCCATCGTGCAAAGATGTATTTTGTGTCTTTGTTCTCGCTATTTCTTTACTGTTGCTTATAGTATCATCACGTATACATTGACACCCAGTAGGGAGAAAGAAAAGATTAAAAAAGACGCATTTCACGCTCTGGGTGATCTGCGGGTAACTAATGGTGTTCTGCTAGTCATTTGCACTATTGTACATTAGAACGAGGTCTGTCTCGTTGTACAGGAAATGACTAATCAGCGAAATTCCCGCCAAGGGCCTTATCAGAGTTTAAAGCCCGCTCAATCGCAATTTTACTGCTCTTGATGACGGGTCGAGGGCCTTGGATTAGCTCAATAATTATTAGTAATTTTAGTGATTAGTTTGATTTCTTTGGTACCCAGTACCCACCTACTAATAAGGTAATGGAGGTTTTCGTGGAAATGTTCAGAAATGTTGCTTTTGAGCAGTTGGATGATAATTCAGTTCTTCGGTCTGATTGATGTGTGGGCGAGGCGTTCATTATACATTTGTTCTACGTTCCGATGTTACACACAGTCAAAAGTGTGGTATTGGTAGAATTCAATTTTGTTGATCGCAAGCTAGGTACTCACCACTTTTTTGAGACATAGAAATAAAAAGATTCTTTGTTTCCAGCAGCAGCGACAATCGAGGATAATTAAAATTTAAAAGTATCCCAAACACCACACGCCATGGAAACAGTTGAGTACAATACTCACACGAGCGGGGGCATCATCCTCAAGATTTCCCTGGAACTCATCCTGGAGCTGATTCGGTTCGTCAATTAGAACACCGATGGAAGGCTGTTGATTTGAAGGATTCTACAAGGAAATTAAAAGAAATTTAAAGGATTGCGAAAAACAGGGAGGGGATAGAGAGGGGAGGAGTGTGTGCACGCAAGGGGAGAAGTGATGTGATACCGTTACCAAATATTGGGCCACATTGTTGGGAAAGCCTGCATATGAATATTGCCCATGCCTTGTTCCCGTTCAATACACAAAGATGGAAGAATAGCTGTGAAAAGCAGCGAGTTTTTACTGAATTAATCCCTTATTCCAATCATCACCACTGGTAAGAGTAAAACACTGTGTTAGCTGGTTGAAACATCAACAGTAAGGGTTCAATTTAGTACGTTTTGGGTGTAAAATATCAGACAATCAAAACCGTAACGATTAGCTGGTGGCTGGCCACGGTGCAGCGAAAACTTGAGAAAAGAAAGAAGAAATACGCAGACCGTGACAGAAGGCTGAGGACCCTACTTCACTCATTCCAGGCACGACCACCTCTGGAATTCCTCAGAGGACACACAACCTGACCTTCAACGTTGTGGAGTGATTAGCTGGAATTGAAACATTTTCGCTGCTTGTCTATTGTTCCTCACTGATCTGCTCACCTCTGTACACAAATGGAGACCGCCTCGATTGGCTTAATGGCCTCTGGGGAATCCTTGACTCATTATAATTTAAAATTCTCTCCGTCCTTCTTTATTTTTTCTTTCTTTCGGTGAAATGTCTGTTCGGCGAATTGGCCGCTCGGTGAACTGTCATTCTGTGAGTTGTGCATTCGGTGAAATGGGCATTCTGTGAACTGGGTATTCGGTGAGCTGTCGTTCGGTGAGCTGTCAGTCGGTGAACTGTCGCTCGGTGAATTGTCGTTCGGTGATATGTCGGGACACCCAGAGGTCCGATTTTCCGTATTAAACTCATTAGAAACATGTCCTGAGATAAACTACACAAGCAAGTTTGCTTACCTTACATGTACGTGAGGCGAGGTTATTGTGCAGTACGGTGGGCCCTACGAAAGAGAAGTTCAGCATTTAATAAAGCCGTAGAACAGTTAACTTCGTTGAGTAATATACCCACTCATTGCCCGGTCACTCAGTGTACCGTTGTCCATATAGAGAGGGGAAACAGTTGAAAAGGAAATGCTGGAACATGTATGTAAACTGGTACATTCACCATACTGTTTAGTGAAGGTACTAGGAAGAGAGAAGGCTCGTGGCTGCCTCTTCACCCGGGGTCCCGCATTACCTTGGTACCGATAATTTACATGTGCATGTTGCATGAACCAAAGTGGGGGGGGGGGGCAAATCCATTTGATACATCCAATAATGGACCAATACACATGGAATTAGGAAAACTCAATCTTCGTGCATAACAGTTTCTTCCTTTGTGGAATCATCAGCGCAGCACAGAGAAAACGAGGCCGAATCTAATAGAAATGACTATCTTTTCCAAAGGCACATTTCAACCAGGTTCCTTGCCAGAGTGCTCAGACTTACAAGTCAGTGAGCTCTACGTGATGCAAACAGCGAATGCATTTCCTGACATGAGAGTGCTCAACTACTCCAAGACCAGGAGCAAAACAGGAACATGAAAAATGGCATAGAGTACACCAACACAATCATAATCTAAACTCGGATACTCAGCCAGTAATAAATGTAAAAACGAGCATCATGTATTTCTTCCTTTTTTACAATCATAATCCTAACTCATATAACAACGCCTTGCCAAACAAAGGGATATTGGTTCTCTATACATGTAGGTGAATACTTACTGGCTTGTAACGCAAGGCCAAACTTCCCTTGTTGCCGTTTCTTCCATACAACTAGGATTAGAACGGCTATGATGATCACAGCTAAGACGGCTACACTAACACCAATAGGTGTAGTCGAGGACTGCTTCTCCTTGCTAGGTTTCACCAGATTGTTGTCGCCATTACCAGCGGTAGCAGTTGGGATAAACTCAACAGTGTACGCATTGGAGTTCTTAGCCTCTCTCGATACCTGTGCCAAATAATGAGTTGTTGGCCCGATCCTTCCATCAGAATAGACCGGATTACCAGTAAATGATGTTTTCGTTGTCCAGCTGGAGGAAGTGGAATGATCACCGTGCGGTGCTTGCGCGATGGGTGCAGTCGGCTTTGGACCAATGGCCTGGGTCGGTATTGCCATGGTACTGGACTGAGTGATATGATGTGTTGTAGGCAATTGGGTTTTCGTCGCGGAAGACTCTTCAGGTGACACTGAAATCGGTTTTGGTGAGATATATTGCGTCATCAGTGTTGAGGTGCTTGGTTTGGTTATCCGAGAAGTGTTTTGCTGCGCGAATGACTTAGTGAGTGTGGTGGTCGTAGCGGGTGAGACTGTATGTATCCTGGGAGCAGAAGATGTACGAGTAGATAGAAGCACTGTCGTTGTGGATGAGTGATTCTTCGCTGGGGAGAGCGTTGAGGTAGAAAATGATATACCTGTTCCTAGGGATGAAGTAAAAGAAAATTTAGAAAGGTAAATGATCGTGTCAGTTCCCGAAGGTAACTCAGAACGGCCGGTAACACCCGATGAACCATAGCGGCAGAGGCAGCGCCTAACGGCGGGGGTGAGGGGATAAGTCTCACAACAACGGGCGCAAGTGCCGAGAAACCCCATTATCCGCGTCTATGTACCCCTTGTGCCTGGCCACAAGTTCCCAGTTTCTTGTGAGTAGCAGCACGGCTGGAAAAACCGCTCCCAGGCAAGACTTGAACCACGTACCTTTCGTATCCCAATCATGGTCTTAGACCAACCCACTGTGCGTGTTTGGTCTTTTATGATGAAGTCCAAACAGGTGCGGAAGTGATAATAGTGAAATGAGACGAAAACTAGGGGTAAAACAATTATACCGAATATTCGAGTACTCGCTCCGGTTTTTCAACCATACTGGTACTCGGGATAAATCAGAGTACTCGTTCATACCTCATACATGCATTTACAACAGAAATCTGCTGTTTCAGAGCTGCAGTCAGCAGCTATTGATGTGCAGACTGTGTGGTGAACATTTGTACACAAGTAGAGAGAGCCCAAATGACCCACCAACCAGTATACCCGAGAAAAAGATGACTGCCAATTGTATCATCATTGTACCACGGTTGTATCATGTGATTCTAAAGCGCATGGTTTGCATTTTTTAGGAGATGAAGATACTCGAATATTCGATCGGAGAAAATGATGTCTATCAATAGTTTGAGGGGAAAGTGTTGCAGTGTGGCCATAAAAAAAAGTTTTATAAGTATGGCGTAGGCAAGCTGAATTCAAGAAATGGGCAAGAGTAATATGTTCCTGTATCTGATCAGGAAAAGAGGAGCATAGAATGGGGGAAATGTCTTTACCGTTTAGTACCGTACATAAAGGTAGTGTCTTACCTGTTGGGGAATAGCGCTGGCACACAAAGCTGAACGTCTTCGTGCAATCTTCATTATAAAGGAACCAACCCAATACGTATGCTTTGTGTATGTATCCGCATCTATTGTTGTCGCTATTGATGGGATAGAAAGGGTACCAGCGGATCCTTCTGTCTGTGTTGGATTTATAGACTGCAGACCATTGCCAGCCACCAGTGATCTTGGTGAGTCCTACCCAAATGTTGCATGTACGGCGGCACGCAGAGGTATACCCACAGTTGCATCTCTCCATTGCAGTCACTGCGCAGTTTTTCCAATTGTCGCTCTGTGTGCTCGATAGATTTCCGCCAAGGGTCTCACAATGGGCTTTAGCCTGGTGGAAGTTAAGTTCCTCGGAGAACAGTCTCATTTCAAGCTGCTGAGCATTTGGATCAGTGCAAAGTGTCCATCCTGTAGATCACATAACACCATAGATGGATAGCGTTCGAATTTCACAGAGCTGGTTTGCAGTGATGTAATAATTATGTCGATAGTTTGAAATGACAGTGTTGGTCTAGCGAGGACTCGAAATCCAGAGGAAGATAATATATAGAGCAACCGTGCAGTAGAGCTGCGGCAAGCACTCAACTGGAAGGAATTTACCTCAGCGTAAGGAAGTAAGGTGCTGTAGTGGTGCGTACGGCATACTCAGCCACAGATGCCCTCTGAACACTCCCTGAACACCCTCTCTACTTGCACCCTGGCTCCCCCCTTTATTATTTTTATTATTATTATTTTTTTATATTTTTTATTATAGCTATGAATAGGATGAAGACCGCAGACATCACGCAACTACGTTACTTGTTTGAAATGTATTACTGTGTATTTTATAACAAAAATATTATTGAAAACCCAGAATCGATTTTCTCGTTCCTATCATCAGTGGGAAAAACGGAACTAAGGATACAACCAAAGAAACTGAAAAAAAAACAGGCTTATGAATACGTATACAAACTGCCTCAAGGACTTTCAACTGTTGGACATAACGCGCACGACACAGTACAGAAAAATGAGAGTCATCATACACACCAAGACAGTCAGGACGAGATAACAAGTGTGGATACACAGCTGACGTCTTACGATCAACACATTCATCCGCCTCATCTCGCTCCTTCCCACCCGACTCCTCCTCGTCCATCTCATCGTCCTCTTCCTCGTTCCGCTCGTCATCCTCACGATCATCATCACCACCATCATCTGCCTTGTCCTCTGTCTCCTCACCAACCGTTTCGTCATCCAATTCCTCTTCCATCCTCTGATCATCCGTCTCATCCTCCGTTTCATTACAGACCACTTGTCTCCCACTTGCTAGCTGCTCGTCCCGTGAGCGGAGTTGTTCCTCCAGATCCGCTTCACTCACTGACTCATGATACTGCTCGACCCTCCTCCTGTTGGTACTGTCCACAACGCGCGGTCCTTGGCCATTTCTGGCATAGATCTCTGTGGAGTAGTTTGCTGTTGCCCTCCGAGGTCTCTGGATTAATGTAGGGGGCGTGGCAATTCGTGTGAGAGTTGGTGATGCCAGCGCGAGTGTAGGTGGGTCCACCCCAGCCCCCGCCACAAGAAGAGCCGGTGGCGATTCTGGTGGTGGCAAGGGCGACGGTGGTGCTGCTGGAGTTGGCAACTTGGGCAGCCTAGCTCTCCCACACGGCACCGCATTCTGTGTTGGCTCAGTCTGTACCACTGGCACAGGGGGTGGGTTCTTGCGCGGTCGGCCACGCTTCGGCCGCTTGGATTTGGCTGCATCCGGTAGAATATGCAGCGGTACATGCTGTTTGATACGTGCGGTCAGGTGTTGAAGGGTCCTACCAACGTACCGGCTACCACAATTCCGGCACTCAAATTAGTAAACCAAATGGCTCAAAAGATGGGATGGTAGGACGTCCTTCCTCACCATGAACGCACATATCGTCGTGAATACTGGAATGAAATGTGCTGCGAAGTATGTTCTCATTACTAGCGTCTTGACTGCGCGGCACATGGTCAGGGATGTGTTTCCTTTCCAAGGCAAACAAAGATAAATTGGGCATCGAGCAGGACCAACACTCACTTCTTTCGATTTGTCTGCTGTTTTCATTAGTTTATTTAAAAGTACATCTTCAGGGTATCCGTTCTTTAGAAACACAGACTTTAAGTATTGTACCTCCTCGCTGAGTTGACTTGGCGAGCAAATGCGCCGTGCCCTGTCAACTAGGTTCCGCACCAAATTCACTTTGTACTGGTAGGAGCAGTACGAATCATACACAATATACTGCCCGGTGAATGTGGGCATTCTGTATACGGAGGTAATGATATCATCATTCGATTTCTCAACCAATACGTCAAGAAACGAGAGTTTATTGTCGTGCTCATGCTCGCATGTGTATTTTAGAGACGGATGTAAGCTATTCAGATGATGAAGGAAGTGGTCGCACTGCTCCGTGGAATCAATACATGTAAACGAGTCGTCGGATGCAGCCAAATCCAAGCGGCCGAAGCGTGGCCGACCGCGCAAGAACCCAGCCCCTGTGCCAGTGGTACAGACGGAGCCATCACAGAATGCGGTGCCGTGTGGGAGAGCTAGGCTGCCCAAGTTGCCAACTCCTATGTTATTAGGCATTCTGCCTGTTTTGATTTCCACTATAAATAAAGTATACAACAACAACAACAACAACAACAACAACAACTCCAGCAGCACCACCGTCGCCCTTGCCACCACCAGAACCGCCACCGGCTCTTCTTGTGGCGGGGGCTGGGGTGGACCTACCTACACTCGCGATGGCATCACCAACTCTCACACGAATTGCCACGCCGCCCACATTAATCCAGAGACCTCGGAGGGCAACAGCAAACTACTCCACAGAGATCTATGCCAGAAATGGCCAAGGACCACGCGTTGTCGACAGTACCAACAGGAGGAGGGTCGAGCAGTATCATGAGTCAGTGAGTGAAGCGGATCTGGAGGAACAACTCCGCTCACGGGACGAGCAGCTAGCAAGTGGGAGACAAGTGGTCTGTAATGAAACGGAGGATGAGACGGAGGATCAGAGGATGAAAGAGGAATTGGATGACGAAACGGTTGGTGAGGAGACAGAGGACGAGTCAGATGATGGTGGTGATGATGATCGTGAGGATGACGAGCGGAACGAGGAAGAGGACGATGAGATGGACGAGGAGGAGTCGGGTGGGAAGGAGCGAGATGAGGCGGATGAATGTGTTGATCGTAAGAAGTCAGCTGTGTATCTACACTTGTTATCTCGTCCTGACTGTCTTGGTGTGCATGATGACTCTCATTTTTCTGTACTGTGTCGTACGCGTTATGTCCAACAGTTGAAAGTCCTAGAGGCAGTTTGTATACGTATTCATAAGCCTGTTTTGTGTAAGCAAAAAGAGCACATTGTTGCACTGAAGTTGTATTCGTAGGTTGACACTTCCTTCAGTGCCTTCTCGCCTTTGGTTATGTAATCTTGTTACCCTTTTTTGCGTTTCCTCTGGTGGTTTTATTGCACTTGTATCTTGATGTTACATGTATTTCTAACACCTTTCTATTTACAGTACTTAACTTCAGTTTCTTTGGTTGTATCCTTAGTTCCGTTTTTCCCACTGGTGATAGGAACGAGAAAATTGATTCTGGGTTTTCAATAATATTTTTTGTTATAAAATACACAGTAATACATGTCAAACAAGTAACGTAGTTGCGTGATGTCTGCGGCCTTCATCCTTGTTGCAAACCACCAGTTCTCAATTGGGAAAGGCCTTCGCGCTTATGGCATTGTATTCGTCGCAATGTTGTCTTTCGACTCCGCCGTACCGCTGATGTTGCTGCATGGCATACGCTATATGCGCTGTGTGTGTTTTGCTGTATACGCTGTTATGTCCGGTTTTATATGCGTATGTTTTTGCATGTACGCTGTTTTTGCATGCTATAAATAGCTGGTGTTATTAGTGTTCATTGTTAATTATTCGATGAAGTGAAATATACTGTGTAAAGGAAAAGAGTTGTCCTCGTGCCGTGTGGTCGTACGATCCTGACAATTTAGAGAATCTTAGAGGGTTCATAACAATCCTATTCATAGCTATATTAAAATTATTATCTCCACGTAGGTTATTTGTATATTTTATTTATTTATTATTTTTAATAACCGCAATCAATAAAACTAGCTGAACCGACATTTGTGTACTTTATTCAGCTAGTTTTATTGATTGCGGTTATCAAATTATTGTCTCCTCGCCGTGTGTTTATTATTTTTATTTATTATTATTATTATTTTTTCTTCCTCTATCACATGTATCATCTTTCCGTTTTTCCTTCCTCTATATAAATGTACCCCCCCTCCCCTCCCCCTGTGCCTACTCCTCCCCAGTTTTTGGTGCTCTGAAGTGTCGCTGAAGCCGAGACCTCAGGTCGGCGGAGATGCTCTAGTTTCACCACCACAGTTGCGTCTGCAACCACCTCTACCATGCAGTATTCTGTTCTCGAGGTTCGTGGTTTCTCGTAAAAAAAATACTCTGTATTTTGCCGGTAGCAGAGCTTGAACATATGTTATCATACAGCAAGCCAAATAGAGAGAAATATCCTTTTCAACTCAATAGGTACATGTACACTGAGAGGTCTACGAGGAATGAACGGAACAATTTTACCACTCCTGCTGCTGGTCTTCGGAACACATGCTCTAGCAGATCTACAGTACTGGCAACTGAAATCCGACCCCCTTGCCGGCGCGGCGCGCCAGCAAGGGGGTCGGATTTCAGTTGCCAGTACTGTACCTATCCATACCATTATCCATACACATATGTGTCAAGGTAGTGTACTACCTCAGGAGGTGCATCTGTGCCTTCCAGAATTGAGGGTTGTGGCGTTGCAATGGATGCGGAAAGCTCAGTCTAAAAGTAAAGATAACTGAGTTTAGAACGAGGTCTGTCTCGTTGTCCAGGAAACGACCAATCAGCGACATTCCCGCCAAGGGCCTTATCAGAGTTTAAAGCCCGCTCAATCGTTATTTTACTACTCTTGATGACGCGTCGAGGGCCTTGGATTAGTTTAAAGCCCGCTGAATATACTCTAAACTGGTGCGTACAACTCCCTGTACGCATAATAGTACGGTGCAGATAATGAACTCTGCATAACGTGTACGGTGTACTACTAAAAGCTACGCAATTCAGAAGTGTGTACGGTTTTTGCCTCCCGTATTCTTTCATCTGTACGAATTTTCTTTGTCAACAGTAGTAGTAGTAGTAGTAGTAGTAGTAGTATTCTTTTATTTTCCATCGGAAGCCTCAACAGTGATGAACACAACTCTTAAGAGGGCCGATAACAGGGTAGAGGGGTGTGGGGTGAGAAAAAAAATAAATAATAATAAGAGATATTTAAACTAAACTAAACTGATACTTGGAACAATAAAGCAGCAGTAAGCAGTAAGCAGTAAACACAGGTATACAATACAAGCGATGCAGATCAATGAGGCCGTTTGCTGAAAAGAAGATCTAAATACTTCTGAAAAGACGCTGCGTCTTTAAGCATGGTCATAATGGGATAGTGCAAGAATTAAAGAGATGTTTTTAAAAACGAATTTAAACTAGGAACGCAGTAAACACAGTTATACAATACAGGCGGTGCAGATCAATGAGGGAGTTTGCTGAAAAGAAGATCAAAATACTTCTGAAAAGACGCTGCGTCTTTTAGCATGGTCTGAAGGTGCTTAGCAAATGTAGTGCGGTGCTGGGTGCGCCACTCCACAGGCAAAGAATTAAAGAACAGGGCAGCACGATTTGAAAAGGAATTGACACCGTCAGTCGTCCGGAATTTAGATATTGCAATAGCAGCATTAAAAGAGCTTCTTGTTGTCCTAGGGCCGGTTGAAACTTGAGGGAAAAGGTCCGTCAGATTTGGGAGAGGGAAAACGACATGATTAACATGGATAAATTTAGCAATGCTACGAATAAGGTAATGTTCAAACGGATCAATCGACAATCTAGCTAACAGCGGCATGACGTCCTCTTGTAGTTTCGAGCCACAAGCAGCGCGTACAGAACGACGATAAACGGACGAGAGTCGCTGTCGGTCCTTGGCGGATAGCTTCATTGCAAAGCAAGAGCAGCAGTATAATAAGTCAGGCAGGATAACCGAGAGGATAAACTGCCGTGTTGCCTTCAAACTTA